TGGGTTTAACAAACCAGAAGCTGCTTTCCCAGCCAGAACTGGGCTGTGTCCAGCGTGGACGGAGGGTTTAGTGCTTTGCTTCTCATCAGCTCATTTCTTCTTTCCTGTTTCTCCTGTTTTGTTGTTTTGTCCACAACCTGATGGATTCAGTCTCTTGCCAGCAGGATTCATCCCCCCAGCCCTGTAACCAGGTGTGAGAGTTGTCAAAGCTGTGGCCATGGTCAGACCTAGGGGAGCTCTGCCCACAGCAAACCTGGGCTCTGTGGCAGCTCCAGGTCTGGCACTTGGGGAATGGCATTCCCTTCCTTCAGAGAGCTGTGACTCCTTGGATAAAGCTGTTAGATGGATTGACCTTGCAGGGCCTTGTTTTCCTGAGGAAAAGGTGTGCCCAGGAAACGTTCAGAGCGTGTTAAACAGCAGCAGTGTCACTGTTGAGCTCAGTCCCAACCCAGCTGTGCCTGTCCGTGTCCCCATGAGCTGCCTGGAGCACTGAGGGACACCTGCATGGAGGGGAGGATGTGATGGGTAACACATGGAATTATCTTCAAATATCTTTTATTAGGCTGCCTTTTGTGACTGACTTGCCATGGGGAGGCAGTTCCTTCATTTCTTCACAATTTCTCTTTTTTCCCCACAGCCTCCACCAACCCCAAAGCTGCTCTGAAGTCCAAGATTGTTGCTGAATTCCGAGTAAGTCTGTGAGTGGAAGTGACCCATGGCACTGACCCCCACCTTGGGGTTTGCATGTGGGGTGAGCCCAGGCCCAGGAATCACCTGGAACAGTGGGGCTGTCACGGGGAGGGCCTGGGCAAGCTCAGAAGATCCTTGTGAAGAGGAGTTTGAGGAGTTGGTGGCAAGAAATTGGTCTAAATTCAGTCCCCTGACAGAGAGGGACATGTTGTGAAATTCACAGGCACCTGTAGGGTGAAATGGGGAGTAAATAACCAGGAGATTTGTGGAATTGCAGCTCCTGCTCAGCCCAGGTTTGCTCATTGTGAAATTTGAGGTTAAAAATCCCAGGCTCCACATGGTTCCTGGGTTAGCTCTCCCTTGGAAGCAGTCTGGAGCCAGAGCAGAGGCAGGGCTTGTGTTCCCTGGAATGTGATGAGGAGGCTTTTCCTGTTTGCTTTTTTGCAGCCCCAGTCCCTCATTGATGAGCTGCTGCTGTACAAACGCTCAGAGGATCAGATAGAGCTCAAGGAGAAGCAGCTTTCCACTATGAGGGTGGATGTCTGCAGCACTGAGACACTCAAGTGCTTGAAAGGTAAAGCCCTGAGGGCACTGAAGGTGTTGGGGGAGCTCCTCAGTTCTGTCAAGATGGGAAATGCCAGAATTTATGTGTGGAAACTGCCAGAATTTCAGAGTGAGGTTAAGAACCAGCAATCAGGAGCCAAAAATCTTGGCTAGGTGGGATTTCTGTGGAAATTCTCAGGTGCAGAACTCAGACCAACTGTCTGAAAACCAAAACTCTGCCAGCAACCAGGCCCTGGTCACCCTTTGCAGATGCCAGTGGATGATCTGGGATTGTGCAGCTCCACTGTCCCAATATCCCAGGTGCTGCCATTGAGGCCACACTTCTGTGCTTTGCCTCATTTCCATGGTGTTCATCTCCCTGCAGATAAAACAGGAGGGAAGAAGTTCTCCAAGGAGTTTGAAGAAGCAAGTTCAAAGCTGGAGGAGTTTGTCAATGGTTTGGACAAGCAAGTGAAGAACGGCCCCTCGCTCACCGAGGCGCTGGAGAACGCTGGAATATTCTACGAGGCACAGTACAAAGAAGTCAAGGTGGTGGCAAATGTAAGTGTGACTTTTCTGGGTCCTCCACACCTCAGAGTCTGGAAAATGCCTCATCTCTCTATTCCCAAATTAAAAAGTTTGTTGGGTTGGTGTAAGGGTGGTTTCCAAAGAGATCACAGTGGAGATTTTGGGTAAGACAAGGATAAGCTCTCAAAATGCAGCAGCTGGAAGCTCAGTTTGTGTTGCTGGAATGTTGGATACACTCTAGATTCTTCAACAGGGCAAAATTACAGTTAGTGTGACAAATCCTGAATTCTGGAAACTTGGGATTTATGTGAGAACTAGACAAGCAAATAGAGGACAATAGTAAAGTGTTATAAAAACAACCAGCACCCTCCAGAACCTGCCAAAAGCACCAAATGGGCTGAACACATTTGTTAAAATATGGGGGGGTATGAAAATTGTTTTAAGTCAGTGGAAAAAGGTTTTATCCTCCCCACTTTTTGTGGTTGTTGCCCTGTGAGAAGCTGAGTTCTTACCATTGCAGGGTTCAGGGATTTGGGATTGGTTTTCTCAGGCTTTGTGTTGCTTCCTTAAGGAAGTGACTGAGGCGTGAAAGATCCCCAGTCCAGTGTCCTTCCTTCCTTAGGCCTATAAAACATTTGCTAACCGAGTGAGCAACCTGAAGAAGAAGCTGGACCAGCTGAAAGCAACCCTCCCTGATCCCGAGGAGTCTCCTGTCCCTTCTCCCAGCATGGATGCTCCATCTCCCACGGGCTCCGAGTCCCCTTTCCAGGGCATGGGGGAGGAGAGCAGCACCCGCTCTCCCGCAGGACGCAAGGTGGTTTCTCCAGAGCCTGCCACAGATAATCGGGATGTGGAGGACATGGAGCTCTCTGATGTGGAGGATGATACGTCTAAAATCATTGGTATGTGATTGTGCTGTGGGGATGAAAAAGGAAACCAGGCTTTTCCAGCTTCATTTGGGATGTGGAGGAGGCACAAAGCCTGGGCTGGGGCTGTAGGGTTTGAATCTCCCAGTTCCACAGTGATCATTTCCATCTCCCAAAGCACTTATCAGAGATGTTTTTACATCTGTGGGAATCAGAGTTGATGTTCCCTGAGTCTTTTTAGGGGGACTGAGTGACCTTTCTGCTTTTGTTTCCCCCTGTGTGCTGCAGTGGAGGAGAGGAAGGACAAACAGGCAGCTCCAGCCCCGGCCCCTGCCAAGGCTGAGAGCGTCCCCAAAGCGGTGCCATCGGCTGCTGCGGCCGCCACGGCCTCGGGGACAGCGGCCACGCCAGCCCCAGCCCCTCCAACTCCCCCAGCTCCAAAGGTGGTGAGCACAGCTCCCATCCCTCTGGCACCAGCACTTGCCTTACCCAACCTGGCCAACGTGGACCTGGCCAAGATCAGCTCCATCCTGAGCAGTTTGACGTCGGTGATGAAGAGCACAGGTGAGTGCTGAGCTGGGCTGTGGGCACTAACGGAGCTGGGTGATGATTTAAACCTTCAATTATCTCAAAATAAACATGAGGGAGTTACTGCTCTCAGAGGTCTGGCTGTGCCTGTGGGGAACCTGAGTCAGTTGTGTTGCCAGAGCAGCTCAGGTGAGTGCTGTGTGCTCCCGCCCCAGGTGTGAGTCCCGCCTCGAGACCTTCGCCAGGGACCCCGACCAGCCCCTCAGCTCTCACCAGTGGCCTGAAGACTCCTGTCCTGGGAACCCCATCTGCTCCTTCGAATCCATTAGCAAATATTCTCTCCAAAGTGGAGATAACTCCGGAAAGCATTCTGTCAGCTCTCTCCAAAACCCAGACTCAGACGGCGCCAGCGCTGCAAGGTACTGGGCTGGGTGCTGGGGGCAGGGGCCAGGCTGAACGTGCTGCTCTGCTTGTCCTGAAGTGAGAACACAGGGAGGAAATGCAATGTTCACTGGACGTGTTTTACGTCTCTGGCACGTGTGGATGGCCTTTGTCAGGTAGCTCAGGTGTCACGGACCAGTGAGATTTGTCATTTCCCTGTCCTTGCTGCTTGTGCTGTGGCTGAATCACACGTATCTGGAACATTCCCTGAACAGGACAGGAGACCGAGAGGTTCTGCTCCTGTTCTGGCACCTTGCCATGGTCACCTGGCCAGCAGGGCAGGTTCTCCCACTCCTGGCTGCAGACCAGGATGAATTCCTACCCACGTGACTCGATGGTGTAATTTATATTTGTACATCAATCCAAGCCTCTGGCAGAATGTTGCACCTCACTGGGAGCAGCAAAATCCATTCCCCTTCATGGCTGGGGACTGGGGGGTGTAAAGTGCCAGCACAGGAGCCTCGGGGTGGTTTGTCCCTGCCCTCAGTGCCTGATGCAGCCGTTGTGTTTTGCAGGGCTGTCGTCCTTGCTGCAGAGCGTGGCTGGAAACGCCGTTCAGTCGGGAGAAGCTGCCTCACAGAGCACCTCGGCATCGCCAGCCAACACAACCGTGCCGTGCTTGAAGGGGAGGAATGTTCCTTCCAATCCACAGCCCTTTATAGCCAAAAGTTTTGGTTATTCTCCAAACTCAACCACCGCAGAGGTTTCCTCCACTTCAGTCAATAAGGCTCCCGTCGGACATACCCCAGCACTGTCAAGCTCTGGTTTTAAGCCACCAACTAATTCCCTGGGATTTTCCAGTTCCCACCCTACCAGTCCTTCCTCCCTTTTGCCAACAGAAACCTCACTGAGTCAATCCTCCGAAATCTCAAAAGCCAAGCTGGAATCAGAACCCCCTTCTCCCAGCTTGGAGATGAAGATACACAATTTCCTGAAGGGAAATCCTGGCTTCAGTGGCCTGAACTTGAATATTCCCATCCTCAGCAGCTTGGGGTCCAGCATGGCACCGGAGAGTCACAGCTCTGACTTCCAGCGTGGTCCCACCAGCACTTCCATGGACAATGTGGACGGGACGCCGGTGCGCGACGAGCGCAGTGGGACGCCCACCCAGGACGAGATGATGGACAAGCCAACGTCGAGCAACGTCGACACGATCTCCCTGCTGTCAAAAATCATGAGCCCCGGTTCCTCAACTCCCAGCAGCACAAGGTCTCCTCTGCAGGGCCGGGATGATGGATATTCCCAAGAACTTCCCAGTTCCGTGCACGGCTACCGGCCCTTCGGCCTCGGCAGGGAGTCCCCGGCCGGCCTGTACAAGCCACCTGTGGACAGCAGGGAGATGCCCTCCTCCTTGATGGACTCCTCCCAGGAGAAGTTTTACCCGGATACGTCTTTCCAAGAAGACGAGGATTACCGTGACTTCGACTACTCCGGGCCGCCGCCCTCGGCCATGCTGAACCTGGAGAAGAAGCCGGTCAAGTCTATCCTGAAATCGAGTAAACTCCCCGATTCTGCAGAGTACCAGCCAGTGCTGTCCAGCTACGGGCAGCGCTCGCAGGAGTTTGGTGTGAAGCCATCCTTCCCCCCAGCCATGAGGTCCATCCTGGATCAGAGTGAGAGCTGTGACCCGCTGGCCTCGTCCCCAGGGATGTTTGGGAGCTACGGCCGCCGGGGGAAGGACTCGGCCTCGGACGGGTCCCCATCTCCCAGCAAGAACGACGTGTTCTTCACGCCGG